CAGGAATCTCCCTGGCACTCTTTATAGACAACACTTATGATATGAACCCATCGTACTAGTCAACACCCCTCCCCTGCTTTGTCCATATATGAAAGAAAACCTGTGTCAATATTTGAAGCTCAACAAAGCAGAAACCTTATCAAATTTGTTGAACTCAGTCACCTGTTGGAAGAAAGGTCTTGATTGTGGTGACTTCCCACACACCTATTCACAATCATGCTAGTGTGTTGCTTTAAATTTAACAACCACTGAAAATCTAGTAAGGCTGCAGGAGTAACCCCAAATTGTTGCTTCAGTTTTCATCTCTGTTGCTCTGGTTTGTTTTCTATCCCTTCAGGGCTGGCAGGAAGTTATTTTGGGAAACAAAGAAAGTGGGAGAGGAATTACACTTCTCCCATCCTGCTTTCAGCAATTCTGATTCCATTCAGGGTACAGGATGTCTGCATTTGGGGTTTTTGTTTTTACAAAAGTGTAAAAAAAATCTAGAGCTAACTAGGAGAATTATTGGTGATGGAAGAAAAAAAATGCAAACTGTTTATATCATCATTGGCTGTTATCTGAGGTGACCACAGTGCATAATTTTCTTATTGTTTGTAAACATAGTTTAGTGGTCATTGAGTTAATGTAGGCAACCTCATTGGTATGATGGTACAGTCAAACCATCATGTAGTTATGATTGGGGATGAAGAAAAAATTGACCCATCAAGATATTGGCTTACTTCCATGAAGTTAATGATAACGCAGATTCATATAGTTTAAAATATTATTGCTGTAACATCCAAATGTAGGCATTAAATGAAGAAACCAGAAAGAGAAAAGAAAACCACTGGATAAAAAATAATAATAATCTTGAATTTTAAAAATATTTCACTGTTCCCAGTAAAGTTATTTTTTTAAAAAAAAAATCAGTTTAAGCTCCAGGTAAAGGATAGATTGTTTTTCAATTGTTTTTTCAAGTAAATCCTAAATTATAGCAGCTAACCTTTATTACCATTTTTTATTACTAATATCTCCAGGCATACCCAGAGGGGATGAGGCAGCCTTTGTACAGCTTGTACCACATTCAAGTAAACCCAACAGATCATTGTATGGAGCAATTACAATTTTTCACATATATTCCCCAAAATAATAAAATTGTGATCAAATAAAGTTTTATATATTTAAAAGTTCCTAGAATAAAATGTTTTTTAATGATGAAACAGCAAGATAAAATTGGATAAATAAAGATTTTATAAATATAAGGCTATCACCAACCATTATGACAAGAACAATGGATTGGAGAAGATAATGCAAAATAGGGCTACTATATCCATCTGCAGTGATCTTGGTGTCTATTAGGTGACAGCAAAGAGTTTGGGTTTTTGCTATTTCTTTGCTGCCATCTAATAGTCATCTGGATATTTGCAACCCAGATCCTTCATCTTATCAGAAAAAGGTGTTCTATTAAGATCCATCATTATCTCTGCATACCGTAATACAACCTAGACAGCATATGTTTTGAAATCTTTCTTAAGAAAAACAATCTCTCAACTGCTCATTACAGTCTTTATTAAGATCTACCCCATCCTACAAAATTTTATAATAAAATATTGTTTTTATTTATTATTATAGTGAACTGCTTGGAATCTGACAGTTCTTTTGGAGCACAGCATCATCAGTTGGTATGCAAAAATTTTCTGAGGCCAAATATCGCCATGCCATTCAGTTCAATGAAGAAATGGTTCTAAAATATGAAATCATATACTCTATAGTTGGAACTTTCTCATTCTCTTTACTGACTGAACACACAATAGATATTCGGGGATGCTGACTATGACACTACTGTAATATTTATGCCACTAAATCAATGCAAGCATTTATAACATCTACATATATTCTACATAAACTGTAGAATAGTGTACAAATGGACAAAACAGAAGACCTTGGTTTATCTTACTTATTAGGTTTATGGACTGCAACATAGCTAAAATATCAATTTGAGATATTTGAAATATTTATTTACTTACTTATTAACTAAGGAGCAATATCTTTTAAATTTAGAGGACTTAACTTTTGATACAAAAGTATGCAGTTGTGTTACTTACAGTATTTTCTTTGACAAAATAGTTTTTGGCTCTTCATCTCTGTGGCTATATGCCAAACTATAGTTGTTAAATTTCCCTCTTTTACAAAACACTGGCCTTTTGCATACGGTTATCCTTCTCAATAGACTGGCTAAATGCCAAACCACATTGCAGGGGAGAGAAATTAATCTTTCCTCCCATACTATGATCTCAGCATGAATGGTCCTCCTGAAGCTGCAATTTCACAATAATAGCAAATGTCAGGAGAAACGATGTGGGAGAAAAAACTCTTTTTTGCACACTTCACTCCTAGTGGTGGGGGAAGGGGCTTCTCTAGTTGTAAAGCGAAAATAAAGTCTTATGACACTTGTCAGAATGATAGAAAATGCTTTTCTTCTCACTCTAGATAAATTTAGTTGCTTTAGTGAATATTGTATAAATATTTGATATAGAACAGTAGCACCCTTTAAGGAAGTAGGTAGAGGTTTATTTTGATGAATAGCTAAAACACGTTAAAAGTTTTGTACTTAAGAGAAATGAAAAAGCCAATTTAAGACATGGTTTACACCATGATGTTTTTAAAATATCATAATTTTGGAAGCAAAACCTTGTGTATTCTTAACAAATTTGTATGGTTGCTTATTGGTATTCAAGAAGCAAACAGGCTGAAGATTTAAAGAAAAAAGGTTTGTGTAGATCTATTTAGCTTTTATCTTGAAGCCTTTATGTTACTTATCCACTCCCATGTTCCTCCTATATAAGCAGTTATTTTTTCTGTTAATGGCAGATAGATTTAATATTTCTACATCTTTACTTACTCTAAGTTGAAAAATAGTTGGGGAAATCAAACCATTTTAAAAATACCAAGAAAATTACATATAATTGCAGGCAAGGAACTGGATCCAGTGTTGCATCAAATGGAACTCCAGAAACTACCTTGGTTATTTGCTTCCAAAAGAGGCACCAGGTCTTATTTTCGGGGGGAGGGTCTTTTCCACTCACCTCGCGATGGCAGCACTGACAGCCCTGCCCAGCCAGCCCACTTCTTCTGCAGTTGAGAATGGAGCTCCAGCCTGCATTTCGCAGTCAAAGGTTTTCCGGAAGATCTCTGCAGCAGAGAACTGAGCTACAGATTGAATCTATAGCTCAGTTCTCGGCTGCAGAGGCCTTCTGGAAAGGCCTCTCACTGCGAAATGCAGACTGGGGGATGCCGCAGAAGAAGTGGGCTGGCGAGGAGATGCAGGTGTCAATTTATGGGAGGCCTGGTAAGTGGGTGCAGGGCATGTGGGGCAGCTCCACCCCCCAACCTTGATTTTTAGGGGTGCTCTTTGCCCGAAAACTAGGGGTTATTTTTGGGGTAGGGCTTGTTTTTGGGGTAGGGCTTACTTTTGGGGAAACCCGGTATGATCCTATGGATGAAAGGCCATCAAATTTCGCCAATTCTACCTTTCCCAAAAGTCTCTATTATTCTGCTACCTAAACCTGTAAATATGTCAAATTTATCTGGGGACACCAAATTGGTGAAAATTCCTATCTGAAAAGGGCACAACATTTTGCACTTCTCTAATTCTCTCTCCTTTCTCCATTATAGCCCAAGCCCTTATCATTAGAGTTCTTCTGTTTGTAGGACATCAACTCATTGTATGAATTTACAAATCATATCAAATCATAATGTAGTTCATTATAAACGAACCCAGCAATTATGGTTTGTAAATCACATTGTATGACTTTGACTAAAAAGTGGTTGGCTAGTTTATAGCTCAGTGCGTTGGGCAAACATAGTAATATATAAATCCAGATATTGTCTTTTTCAGTCTTCAGCTGGCTAAGTACAATTATTGCTGCTAGGGTTTTGCGGTAATAAGTTATAGTATTTCAAAACTACTCTCCAGTTTCACCATGAGTTTTGCTTAGCAAGGATTAGCAAGGAGAAAAGAGCGCAAAGTGAGTTCCTTTTCTAGATTTATGTTTAATTGTTGAATTAAAAAAAACAAATTTCTATTAAAAGTAGCATATTTTTAAAGAATACTGTAAGTTAAAGCTGATGAAAACAAAATCATTAATGGGAAAGTGCAAGTGGACGCATATTGTTAATAACACAAAGCTCCACATCCTTCCCAAGGAACAAAACAAAAAAAATGTAACATGCAAGCAATATTGAGCTTTCTTTTTTTAAAAAAGAAATTAAAATGGTATCACACAAATTTAGCAATCACTACAAAGTATGGTTAAAAAGAAGATAAATAAGTTGCAGGCTACAGCTTGAAAGCAAGAGGGAAAAAAAGGAGGTTTTTTGCTCCCCTTCGCAAAGTCAACACTTCTCCACAAAACCAAAATGAAAAAGCCACCAAAAACTTTCACTACAGCTCTTTCGATTAAACAAAAGCACACAGTTTAGCTATCAACACCACTTCATTACTGTAATCAATAAATAAAAAAAAACCACACTGATATCTATGGACTATAGGAAAAAAAACATACATGCATCGTTAATCACCATTTTAGCTTGTTTGTGTGTTTGAGTCTACTGGTTACAGAGTTTAATTCCAAACAGAACTATTCCACCTCATATCCTTCTCATCAGTTATCTTAACTGTAAACGATCCCTGTCAGATTAGAAAGAGATAAATAACATTGAGTTTAGCTTAAGAAAAAAATATTGTTTGGGGGGTACACTGGAGTGCTGATTACAGGCAGACCTGTTTTCCCCACATTATCTTATCAGCACACAGGACTGCTTCAGTGCAGGATGCTGGGCATTGTCCCTCCAGCTGTAAGGCTTATTGGAAAATCATTAAGGAAATGAGGGCATTTTAAATCTGCATATTTGAAAAAGAAGTAATAATTTTATTGCCAGCAGTCACATTACAAGACATTAACATATATACGTTATCTGTTTCCCACTACAAAAAAAAAACAGGTTTAGAGGAAACTTACCCAAAGGGTCTCTGGATTAAGGCTGGATGGAGCTGTTGAACCCCAAAGGCAAAACCTAACAACAAAACAAAGCACATTCTGTATACAGGTATTCCTCCTGTTGCATTATTTTGCATTGGCAATCTTTTACCCCTTTATGGAGAATTAGGTCTATGAATTTAAATGGGGCTTACTTCCACATCAGTAACCAAAGGATTGCAAACTTTTAAAACATTTTCATGAAGGATAAGTGGCATTTTACCTGCTTTCCTTTGAGAATAGTATTTATTAGAGTATAATAAATTCTATCCTGGGATCGTTTTTAAAGAAAAGCAGGTAAAATGCCACTTATCTGTCATGAAAATGTTTTATACATGAATGCATTTTGTTTCATTTAACAAATAAATAATCCTGGTTTTCAAGGCACAGGGGCCAGACAATAATTCTATATTATTTAACTGCTTCCCATATTAAAAATATATGACTGAATGTGGTCCATAAATTATTAATATGGCTGGTATATATAACAGAGTGTAAAATTGTAACAAGACTTTGCATAAAGGGTCCTCACGCTCTCTGAATTTGGTTGTTTTCTTGCAGATATTTCATTACCCAAACTAGGTAACATTATCAGTGCTAGTCAGGGAAGCATCATCAGAAAGCACCAAGAACTCCTCATTTCAACCCTGAGTTGTAAATATTCTCCTTTATTGAGACTTTGCATAGTTTGCAAATAATTTGGAAGAACTACTTTTCCACTTGTGTAAGTAGAACCTCACTTTTATTCAATGTTTATTTAGAGTAGCCTCAACCAGCAAGATGAGCAGCAAATAAATCTAATAATAATAATAATAATAATAATAATGATGATGATGATGATGATGATGATGATAACGTTGGAAGGGACCTCGGAGGTCATCTAGTCCAACCTCCTGCTCAGGCAGGAAACCCTATACCATTTCGGATAGATGGCTGTCCAGTTTCTTCTTAAAAACCTCCAGTGTTGGCGCATTCACCGCTTCTGGAGGCAGGTTGTTCCACTGGTTAATTGTTCTAACTGTCAGGAAGTTTCTCCTTAGTTAATACACTCTTACAACATATAACCCATATATATATATGGGTTATATGTTGTAATATAATATATATATACACACACAGTATATATATACAGTACATACATACATACATACATACATACATACATACATACATACATACATACATATTATGGGAGGGCTGGGGGCAGACGGTCCTACGACATGCTCAATGGCCAGATTGTTAACATCTAAAGGGCTATAAGGACAAGTGTTTCCAGATGCTGGCTCACACTTTAATCACATCAGCAGTTGTTGATGAAAGCTTAGTATTGAATAAAGTTTTTTTGTCCCAGAGATCAGCGTTTGAGCAGTCTTTATATATATAAAGAAAAGAGTCCCTGTGGATTTTACTCTGCTAGTCGTTGCCAATTATAGGGGCTGGTGCTCATCTCTGTTTCAAGGCCATCCAGCCAGTACTGTCTGAAGACATTTCCATAGTTGTGTGGCCAGCATGACATCAGGGAGCACTGTTTCCTTCCCACTGAAGTGGTACCTATTTATCTACTCACATTTGCATGTTTTCGAACTTCTAGGTTGGCAGGAACTGGGGCGAGGATGGGAGCTCAACCTGTCATGTGGTGCTCCGGTCTCGAACCTGGGCTGCCAGTATTCCAACCGACAAGCTCAGCATCTTAACCACTGAGCCAACTGCACCAACCCCCCACATATAAAAAAAACCTGAAAAAAATCAGGCTGCTTTACTGAATAGCAGAAAGATACTGTGCTTTCTCTGAATCATTTTTTGAAGCATTCACAGCCTTAATAGTAATCTTTTCTTTCAACAATATTAATAATATTATACCTCAAGATAGAGAGTTGTTATTTATCATATATCACTACAGTTTGGGGCAGATGTAATGTTCACAGTCTCTTAAACTTGGTTGCTATATTTGATGGGTTTTTTTGTTTTTGTACAATTTCTTTTGTACAGATGTTTTTGTAAAGGTTTCTGCTGCCCTTTTATGGATTGCTTTAAATATGATAAAGGGAATAAATTGGCAATTTTGTCAGGTGCCTGGCAATCCTGGGAACTCTTGTACATTGGCCTACTTTCCCCAAAACTTTTGTTTCAAAACCATGCCAAATCATAGTTTGCATAAACCATGGCTTGCAAATGTGTATCAAATGAATGGATTCTAATCGTGGTTTAGCAATTCATGGACTCAATTACTCCAAATTGATAACCGTTGTATAGAATGAACAACATACCAGTATAGCAAATGGTTGGGATGAGTCTGAATTGAATCAATGCTAAAAGCTGATATACATACAATACTCATACAATACTATATATTCCCATAATAGTTGAAGGCACTTCCTAGTTTAGAACTTAAGTATAAAAGCAAAATAACTGACAATTTATTTTTAGTTTTCATTTAGTTTTAGTATTCATAATAAAAGTCTTTAACTTTGCATTCTTGTTTTATTTATTTATTAAATTTATATGAAGCCCATTTCACTGTCAAGCAAATCTGGGTGGCTTACAGCATCAAAAAAGCAAAATTGGAAAATATTAAAATATTAAATATTAAAATTAACAGAAATTAGGTAAGTTAGAAAGCAGAATGCAACAGGGTGGCCATCTTGTGAATACATTCATCCTTAGTGATTTCTAAACAGTTCCATAATATATTTATAACTAATAACTATGACCGAAAGGATTGATGCAAAAGAATTAAGATTAAACATGTAATTTTCTAAATAAGTGGGGATGACTTCATGCTTTCAGTCGGAGAGGTCTTCAATGACAGGCTTGATGGGTTTCAAACAATATACATCTGACTTTTTATTAAAACATAAATACCCACTGAATTTTAGTGATAATTTGTTCATTTTCCCGAAAGATCCCTAAACTCTACTATTTAATTTCAAATTGTTTATCTTGCGTTTAAATGTATACATGTGGGGTAGAGGTTGACCATGTTATCTCAGTGATGAACAGAAAACATGCTGAACTTGTTTGGAGGCTGATTTTAGTATTAAAAAAAACCTTCCATAAATAAGTTATAGCTAGCCTGGCTGAACAAAGAAGAGCATAGTATTTCAGGAATACAGTGTTGATAAAAAAAAATCAAATAAATAAATAAACAACTGAAATAACTCAGGAAGATAGAGTTTGGCAACACAGAAACTACACACCCCAATGATGTCTGTTGATCCGCAAATTAATGCAAACGTATTAATCAAAAATTATTACAATTATGCAGATTATTGGTTTCACAAAATTTGGTTTGTTTTTGACATGCCTAAGAGTCATTACTGCCAGAATAGGTTGCTGACTATTATTGTAAATGCAAAATAAGACAGGTCTCACAAAGAAACTGGAAGCTATTCCAGGTTTCATTTTGAAGCACTTTATTTTTGATGTTTCTTAGAAAGCAAAAGTTGACTGCAGATGCTGCCAAATATTGTACTAGAAACATTAAATCCAATATTAAAAGAAAGTTTATATTCTGAATCACAAACAACAGAATTATTCTCCATTTAATTAGATCAATTAAATTAGTCCCATTAATTAATTAGAATCTTCAATAAAAGGGGGACATCAAACGTAACTAATTCATCAAAAATGAAGAAAACTGAATATTTGAAAGAGTTCCTATATACATTAGTCTCTCCCTATATATACACAATAAATATATACAGAGACCATAATCCTATGTGCATTATTTAAGGGAGTAACCTACAGAAATCACTAGGTTTTGCATGAGGCCGTGATGTTATTTTCCACATTCTCAAGATAATGCTTTCTAAATTTTAGCCTTTTGTTTCTTGGACTTCTATCAGTCAAGTATTTAGAAAACGACTGTGCAAGAACCTCTTTACACATCTAGAACTACACTTTTAGTGTGCACATTTTACACTTGTCAGCAAAGGGTTTCCATAGCACGGCAAAGCAATAGTCTTTTTTTTTTTTTTAAGAAGGCAAGTTTTCTGGCTGTTTTGTTGCCCATATTTTCTACAGAGAACAGGTACATATACCTGGGAAGAAATAACTTATCCCTTTTTCATCTTCTGCTCCAAATGTCTTATGTCAGCTCTAGGAAGCTCTGTCCCACAGTCTGCAAATCACATGACATGGCTCTTGGACATAATTCTTACATTTGAATCAGTAATATCTGAGTTTTGCACTGTGTTGACCCAAGATATCCTCAATACAAATTGGCCATTATTAAAACCACAGAAATGGGTGATGATAAAATGCTTCAGAACTATGTTTTTGGAGAACTTTCACTGTCCATTTGCAAACCACTCATTCTAAAAGTAGAAGATAATAATCACAGTTATTACCTGGCTGCATAATTCTTGGTTTTGCTCCTAGATATGCAAGATTCACATTAGCTTTTCTGCCATCAATGATTGGATTAGGGTCTTTGCAGGCTCTTTCAGCAGCAGCTCGATCAGCCATTGTCACCTTGATAATAAACAGAAAATGTATCAAAACTGTAACCCTCAAAATAGCCTCCCAGATATAGTAAAACAATACTCTTTCTGATAGATAATTTCAGATTAGGATGATCGGGGAGTTCCCTTTTTGTTTCCTTTTGTCCCGATCTGGTTTGGTTTTGGTATTTTGCTTTCACAGTTGCTTGCGTTCTTTTGTATATTGATTATTTAGTTGTAAACTGCCCACAGGTGTTTGGGCGGCCTATTAAATAAACAAATAAATAAACTCCCCTCACCCAAATGAAAATACAACTGGGCAGTATATTCCAGCGTCTGAACTTTAGAGACAGTGTGTGCACGTGTGAAATTAATACCATAAACACTTTTAAAAATTCCAGCGCTATTGGAAGCCTTCTCTGTTTTCCCCCAAACAGTGGCACAGAAAGTTTGCAGGACTCTTATGCCAGTGACACAGTCGCATGTGTCACTGTAGATAAAAATACGGAACATGTCCTATCAGTCTGCAGCCAGCTGGCTTCATCCAATGCCAAAACTTTATTAGCAAATTTTCCTATGCAGGCATTGAAGCAAATATCCACAGCACCCACAGCATATTCTTTAGAGACGTGGTTGTTCCAGCAAGCGGGACTGGCCTAGGGGATTTTATAGGGGTTTTAATTACTTTTAATTGGACATTTACAAATATTTCGTTTTAATTAAATTTTTAATTAGGTATAATATATGTTAGTTTTTTATCTAATTTGTCAGCCGCCCTGAGTCCGAAAGGAGAAGGGCGGGATATAAATGCAATTAATAATAATNTAATAATAATAATAATAATAATAATAATAATAATAATAATAATAATAATAATAATAATAATAATAATAATAATAATAGAGAAGAAAGCATCTCCCCCCACCCCCACCCCCGTTCCTCAAATATTCCCACAAGGTTGTAGTCAGTAGTAGTGTGTAGTTAATCGCGGGGACCTCTCAGTTGACAGGCTGTTTTTTTTCCAGCGCCTTGTTTACATGTTGTTTAACTTTGGGGGGAGTTTGCCGTTTGTCCACTCTACACCTCCCAACCGGATGGTCGCAATCTTTTCAAGCCCTTTTTGGGGAGAGAGAGAGAGAGAGAGACCGAAACTGCGGGATTACCTAGCCCACCCCTCACCCCGGCTCTGCCTTCTCTCCCACCGTTGTTCGGCGACCACCAACACCAACTTTTCGAAGTTGTTCACACACACACACACACACACACACCCGGCGCGCTTTGGACTTACAAATCCGTATCCCCGGGATTTGCCCGTCTGCCGGTCGGTGATGACCACGGCTTCTTCGATCTCGCCGAAGACCTCGAAATACTTCCGGAGGCTGGAGTCGGTGGTGTGGTAGGGCAGACCCCCGACGAAGATCTTGGTGTAGGTGGTGTCCTTCTGCGTCGTGTGCATCTTCCCCAAAAGACCTCTCCCCTGCTACAAGACCCACACACACACACACAAAAAAAGGAAGGGAAAAAAAAAAAGGTCAGGGGAGGGTAGGGGAGGGAAAGAAGCCTCTTTCTCCGGCTGCTAAGGCGCCGACTGCCCCCCTTTCCCGAGCAACTTCTCTCACCGTCCAGAGTCCGCTTCCCCCAGCCACACAACAGCAGCAGCAGCAACAGCAGCAGCAACAACTCCCTTTTGGCCGAGCAGGAAAACCTTCCTTCTCTCGCTCCGAGCGGTGCTTGAACTCGGCTCCGAGGCGCACACAGGAAGCCTCGTCGGATGCTCTTGAGGTAGACGGCGCTGGGCGAGGAAAGGGCAGGGAAAGTCTTCCGCCGGCGAAGGTTTCCCCCGAATGTCACACGCGCACGCGAGCTCCCCGTTCCGCCGCCTCTCTCTCTCTCTCTCTCTCTCTCCCGCCCCCCTCCCCGCTCGGAGGGGCGGGTAGCCAGGCGGAGTCCCCTCTGGTTATTGGCCTCTTCCTGGGAGGGAAGCCGGCAGGGTTATAAAACCCGCTTGCGGGGACTTAGCGCGTGGCGTCGGGAAGGGAGAGTTGAGAGAAAGAGGCGAGGAAGCGGCCCCGGGGGGGGGGGAGAGAGAGGGGGAGGTCGGGCGACCTCGCCACCTGCAGCGCCGAGCGGCGCCCTGTGGGAAAAGCGGCTGCTGGTCTAAGCGGCGGGAACCTCTCGGTTGGTTCCCGTTGCTCGGCTTGACAGCGCCGCCAGGCTTGAGCTCCGCGCCGCCTCTCTCCGCCTTCCCAGACGCTAACCCGATATATAGCCTTCTTTGGGCGTCCGTGGCGGAGCCGTCAGCCCCCCCCCCCCTCTACTTCGCGAAGAGGCACATGGCGGGGCGCAGAAGTGCAACCTCGGGCAGCGCTGAGGAGGAGGAGGAGGAGGAGGCAGGGTTGGCCCCGTCTGGTGCCGTGCCTGGCCCCTATCTTGCGCCCACCAGGCGGGTTGGGCTCCCAATTTCCCATTGGTCGGCTGCCTTGAGGCGCCGTTGCCGGGAAGTACCATCCAACGAGGACCGAAGGCCTGCGAATTCCTCCGCCTTGGCCGAGAAAACGGTGCCAGCCTAACCCCGGGGCGTTCCTTGGAGTGTGAATGGGCAGAGGTGGCTGTTTGGGTAAAGAGCCTCGTTCTCCTGCTATCTTACCTTCTCTCGCAGGTGGAAGCCAACTCAACAACTCAATGGCTAAGGAGGAGCAAGCAGAATGAGTAGCAAGGCTTTCCCTTGCTTGCTTCTAAGGCAGTGGTTCTCAACCTGTGGGTCGGGACCCCATTTGGGGTCCATCGACCATTTCACAGGGTCGCCAAGCAAGGCTGTCCGCCATTTTTTTTGTCCGCCATTTTTTCCCCCTTTTCCGGCAGGTGCCTTACCTCCCTTGGGCTGGGCCAGCTGGTGGTCGGCCTGCTCCGTCTCTGCCACTTGCCAGCTACGCCTCGGCTGGCGCAGGGGGCGGAACCACGCATGCGCGGTGCTCCCAGGCAGGGACAGTCCTCGACTTACGACCGGTTGGGTAGTCCTCGACTTACAACCGGTTTAGTCCTCGACTTACGACCAGTTGGGGTCACGGCATTAAAAAGGCTGAGAACCACTGTTCTAAGGAGACATTTCTTACCCTTTCCTGTCACGCTTGTCAAAGAGGAAAGGGAAATGGACACATCCACCAAGTGAAAAAGTGAGGCAACCTACAATGGCGTTTCCCAATGGGAAACATCACTTTCGGTCCTGGCCATTAGATGAATTAAAGACAGAGAAAGAAGAGGGAAGTGTGTTTCTCTTACCTGCCTGAACTCATCCGGAGGTCTGGGCAGCACAGAGAATTGAGCATAGCTCCCGAACTGTAGGTCAGCTTTCTGGAAAACAGTGCAGATCACGGTGTGCTCCAGTCATGATGTGATCCAGACCCAACCAGCCCTTTGAAAGGTTGGTTGCTTTCCAAGGGCAACCCATGTAGGATACATTTCAGTAGCGAAGCACAATGTGTAAGTAAGCAGGAGCTTGCCAAGAAGGGATACACGAGGGGCGAACAACCACTGCTGCCGAATCTCTAAACTAGGTGGGTGGACTTTTTCAGAACAAGCCCTTGATATAAGTGGAATGTCGGGTGCCTAAATCAAACAGTGGTCAGAACCAGGACAAAATGTTTATTAAAGTTTAATTAAAAATTATGTAAACACAATTAATATGAATTATTCCCAGATCTTTTCCTTTGTCACAAAGAAAAGTCACAATCCGCAGCAATTTTGGAATATACTACGTAGGCTAAACCCAAAGTTTTGGGATTTGCATGAAGCTTCAACCAGCAGGTTGTCTTAAAGCAGGAGCAGACAACCTTGGCTCTTTTATGACTCGTAGACTTCAACTTCCAGAATTCCTGAGCCAGCATGGCTGGCTCAGGAATTCTGGGAGTTGAAGTCCACGAGTCATAAAAGAGCCAAGGTTGCCTACCCTGTCTTAAAGCATCTATGTATTAAGGAATTCCCTGCCTCTCTTATGCTGAACCTGATGCTTGAGGGGAAGTGCAGCTCTCTCTCCAATATAAGCAGAATTACATCCCAGGTCAGGTATTTATTTATCCACAGTGCCCACATTTCAGTCAGTGTTTCATTAATCACCATGTTCACTTCTTACCTAGCAGGTGTTTAAAATGAGAGCAAGTTGCAAAACAATTATTTCTCTGGGAATATCTTCCAGGAAGGAGAAGACACACAAATGTGCAATTCAGCCTCCAGCCTGTCAGCACTCATGGTTGAATTAGTAGTAAATGGTTGGAAATGTATTGACTTCTGTAGCTTGTTTTAATATAAAGCTTAGTAGCACCTATCAGCTTGGGCAAAGGTGTTGGTTGCTGCTGGGAATTCTGATCCAGCAGTTATGAAGGGCAATAACCTTCCCAAGCCTGAAAATCCATTGTAACCCACTCACTTTAACAAGCAAGCACAAAACGTCCAGTGTAGCTTTTGTTCCGAAATTGGTCCTAAAGTGCCAGCTGAAAAGAGCCAAGCTCTACAGATGCAGAACTCCAAGAAATATGAACCAAACACAAAACTCGAAAATTATTGTCAATTCTCAGTTATTAGGACATTCGATAAAACATGTGTCTTGTTTTATTTTATTTTTTTTGCCTATATTTGTTGAAAATGTTTTTTAAATTGTGATATTATTTCTGTTTTACAGTGCAGTAAATGAAGTATAAAATGATCCTTAAGGACTCATCAGTCTATCAGATCTTGCAGATTCCTGTTTAATCTAGTTTTCTAATTTTCATTGGAATATACAGGCAGTCCTCGACTTACAACTATTTATCTAGTGACTGTTCAAAGTTACAGCTGCACTGAAAAAAGTGACATGGCTGCTTTTCACACTTATGATCTTTGCAGCATCCCCAGAGTCAGGTGATCAAAATTCGGGTGATGGTTGCAGTGTGATCACCTTTAGTGACCTTCTGATAAGCAAAGTCAATGGGAAAGCCAAATTCACTTAACAACCACATTACTAACTTAGCAGCTGCAGTGATTCACTTAACAACTGTGGCAAGAAAGGTCGTAAAATGGGGCAAAATTCACAACCACTGTCTTGCTTAGCAACAGAAATTTTGGGCTCAATTGTGGTTTGTGTTGTTGTGGAGTACCTGTATTCAATTGTATTACATCCCAGTGCTCGGAGCAGGGTCATTTCCTCCACCCTTCTTGCAACATCTTATTTCTAAACATGGAGATGCATCTTGCAAATATGTTACAAGATTTTTATTTTTTTCTTAGAACTTCTGTGTTTCTCTGAATGAGAAACCAAATACCAGCTGAAGCCTTTCTTCTATACTGCATCTCTTTATGCTAGGGACAGCACATATGCTAAAGTATTTCCAGTGGGTCCAAATTAAGTATACTGTTATTTTGATTACGAAAGGAGAATCATAGGAATCAATGTCTTTTATTTTGAGTGGAGATGTTGGCCAGGAGTAAAAAGAGAGTTACAAAAGTGAATAAAGTGAGCTGAATTGGAAAACCTACAGAACTGGCAAGTGTTATCTTTACTTGCATACTTAACTCAGAGATTCTCTGGAAGTGTTCAGACCATAAAAGGTAGCTTTGCAGGGGAAAATGAAACAGAATAGAATAGAATAGAATAGAATAGAATAGAATAGAATAGAATAGAATAGAATAGAATAGAATAGAATCCTTGGGGGGATTTACAACAATCAAAAAAATTACAATAAAACCAATAAAGCCTAAAAAACAAAGATAAAAGATGGCAAGTAGAATAAAGTTTACACACACACACTCTTAATTTACATATTTAAAATAAATATAGAGGAGAAGTAGCTCTCCACTTACATTATTATTGTAACCCAAATTGATTTAATATTAAAAATTAGAAGTTTCAATGTCAAAAAGCTAGTTTTTATAATCATTGAATTATATAGCACAGGTCCACGGCTCTTTGGAACCAATCCGAGCAAGTGGCAGGCAAGCACACAAAACTCCATTTGCACAAGTGATGGGTGTGCACCTCAAACCATCCCCTCCCCCCGCTGCTGTTGCTGCTGCTGGTCCACGGAGCTGGAAAGGTTGGGGACCGCAGCCTTTGTGCTGTTAATATGTTGCCAAATTATATTGCCAAATTATAGAATCTAGTTATGTATTTATTATACTGTTTAACTACTCCAATCTTATAACTGTGGGTGGTGTACAACAAAGACACAAAAAGTAATGTAATCATCTATTAGAAATATAACAGTAATATACATCTAGAGGAATGCCTACGCACCAATCAGTTGGAGCCCAAATATTGTTAAAAAAATAATGTTTACATCATCTTACTGAACACAGTAAGGAAGAGTGATTTCTGAACTTCCTAGTCAAAATAATACATTTGTTATGCGGGCCACCACCAAGAAGGCTGCTGGCTTGTCCATGTCCCATGAATCTTGGATAAAGAAGGGACTCTTAGGAGTCCTTCCTGAGATGTCCAAACCAGACAGTTAAAAATTAGATATGGCAAGGTGAGCAACTTCTCTGATGCCAAAGTGCCTTTTTTCAAGGCAATTGTAAGTTGAAAGATATGTACTGAGAAATATACAAAATGTACTTGAATTCAACTTGAATTTATTCCATAAAAGCTGGTATCTGTAGTGAAATGAAAAAAGATAAATTA